AAGAGTCTTGGTGGTCCAAGGACTGAAGAACTTCCTTATTTGCAGAATTCTAAACGACCCATGGAACGCTTTTACAACAGACCTTGCCAATATGGACAGACACCGTGAGACATCTTAGTGTCCAAACCGGTAACGAGTTCCGGCTACATTGAGTCATGAAAACAGATTTTGTGATCGGAGTTGTGCAGTTCCCACAATTATTTCAGTCTTCATGAAGAAAAAGCAGTCGAACATAAGGGGGGCGGAGAGTTTTGTGGCCGGAAGGAAACTTGATGGGCGCGAAGGCATGACCTTCCCTTATCTTTCCACGTACTTGGATCAACAATGTTCCGGTCGAATGATTATAATCAGCTGAGAGCTCGAAGGCTTAATCTTTAACAACCCACATTATATCGATAACAAAGATACTTCGTAGCACTATCTACCGCGAGACGGACGCTCATCGAACGAACATGGAAATCAAAGCCGAGGTAAGGTAGTTCTTTCTCTTTAAGAGTAATCACTTTGTTGTTTTTTTAGTAAGCTCAGCATCTAGAAGTTTAGTACTGCGATAATAATCATAATTATTATTATTATATATTAGACTAAAACAGCGCTAAAATCATAAAATATTCAAGGGCGCTTTACATTGTAAATTAGAATTAACTTACCGGTAAGTAAACAGTAAAACAATTCCTACACATGTGGTATAAGATTCAGACAGATTGTACGCTAATTTAAAAAAGTAACTTTTAACTTTGACATAAAAACAGTCAGAGTTGGACTTGAACGTATCTCTTGAAGACCTTGAATAACAGCAAAGAAAACGTCCCGAGTGGGCAAAGATGCGATCACCAAATGTCCAGTGAGTGGTTCTAGGAACCGATGAACCGATTCGATGAATCACAAGAAGCCAGTGCAAGTGGTACAAGGACGAGATATGATGAAATTTGGATAGCCCAAACCTTAATCTAGCTGAAGCGTCAAGTACTNGAAGGCTTAATCTTTAACAACCCACATTATATCGATAACAAAGATACTTCGCAGCGCTATCTACCGCGAGACGGACGCTCATCGAACGAACATGGAAATCAAAGCCGAGGTAAGGTAGTTCTTTCTCTTTAAGAGTAATCACTTTGTTGTTTTTTTAATGACACATTCCGCCCGCTGTATTACAAAAGAAAGACTTCAACACAGCCACACACGGGTTCTAAGTTCCCGCATTCTTAATTAGTGTCTTGGCATCTCTCGAGTCTGACATTTTTGCGCTTTTTGTTTAACATTCGACACTCCTACAGATAAAAAATTCAATAAACGTTTTCGAAGAAGTCCAGTAAACCCCGAAAGATTCTTAGAATTGGCTATAATAAAAACTAAAAACAGTTGACGAACTCTGAACGATTTCTAGACACATCGAAGCTTCAAGAAGTAATGACATGGTCCCTCAAACGGAAGGACCCAAAAACGTAATGATTAAAACAATAATAGAATAGATAAAATATATAGTAATAAACTTACAATGTAGCGAGAATTGACTCTGAAGTGTATTCAAATTAAGGAAGGATATTTTTTTGAGGCAACTGGTGTCACTTCATATATTTCGTCGATTCATAAGCTCCCTTGTGATTCTTATAATAACAGAATCCATTTATTAAGTTATGTAACGTCGGCGAAGGCTTCGACAAAAGCCGAATCCCAGAGGCCGACACCATCACTTTGACAAAGGCACACAACACACTGCCTGCTTAAAAGCATAGGTTTCTTTAAAACTTACAGCGCGGTAATTTATTGTCTACGAGTACAGGCTGTATTTCATCGCTTCCTGTAATACTGTAACTGCACGGGAGGTTCAAGACAATTTTCTTTTGATTGATATCATTTTTAAGCTCCCATCGCCTTTCAGCGGATGATCACAGCCTTAACTTTTCATCTACTTGTCACTACTAAACTTGTCTCACAAAAAATATCGATAATTATTCAAACTATTTCAAGCATTATCAGGAACGAAACTACCTACAAACAACACAGCTTCTCAACGACCCCTCTCGAATATCAATTTGTAATTGGTTCAAAAAATCGATGTCACAATACACAGATGCTCGTCAACTAAATTTGATCACAAGTTTGAGCGCTAAAGAACTCAATTTTGCACTGACCATGTTTCACAAAATAGCAAAGTAGAAAAAAACAACTGATTGAAAGAGGCTGCTGCTTTCTAAACAAACATTTTCGTCAAGAATAAACAAATCTATTCATCATGCACGGTACAAAGACCTTCAGTAGATGAATTGTTTCGATACTTAGCCGCTGTACGGGAGAAAAGGAGAAATGGATCATGGAACGGAATCGCGAGAACAGCAAAGGAACAACAGTCATTAGAGTTTTGAGATCTTTTGTCCATTTCCTGTTTGAAGTAATACAATAGGCTGTAATGCTTTGTTTGTTGTTTGTCTCACAGCAAGGAGAAACTCAAGAGGAGTGGAAGAATGGCAAAGGGCTGACCTACTCCATAGACGATACTCCACCATGGTACCTCAGCATCGTGTTGGGATTCCAGGTACGACAAATTATTACCACCAGTCCTTCTACATCTTTCTTCCATCGACATTTTAGTTCTTATGGTTCAATTTAATAAGCAGGATTAACGCATTTTATTGTCTTGCAGCATTACTTGACCATGTTCGGTTCAACACTGGCGATTCCTCTTGTTTTAGCGAAGCCCATGTGCTACGATCAGAACCCATTAGCCACGAGTGAGATTATCGGCACCATATTCTTTGTATCTGGAATTTGTACCTTACTGCAAACAACGTTTGGAAATAGGTAAAAGGCGGTGATTGTGACAACGATTAATTAACTGTTGCCCGCTCATTTTTTGTTTAGCATAA